ATATATATATATATATATATATATATATATATATATATATATATATATATATATACACACACACACACACTCATTTTTTTCTTTTTATTATACATGCTACTGCCATCGCATTTATAAAAAAAAAAGTTCAGACCGTTTTACTATTTATATACAATATAAAATACTTTTGACACGTATTTTTATCGCGATTTTTAACATCAAGTTTTTAATCAATACACAAAAACAAGGATCACAAAAATGCATTTATATCTTAAATACACGTGTTCCTTGTATAAATCTTTTATATATTTGTGCCATTTGTAAAACTTTTAGAAAAATTTCTCTAGCTGCCAAATGTACATACATAATAAGTATATTTCTACGATCTTGCAAACGATCGTTGCAAATAATTTTTGGCAAATGTTATATTGCTTTTGCCAATATATTATTTCATATTTGGAAAAATGTTATTCGATCAATCTAATCATGTATTTTGCGTAGTTAGCGCAGTTTTATCTCGATATATTAGATATATTTCATATTTAAAAACTTGATTATCTTTTCCTTAATTATAGATAAATATTTACATTAACGAATATTCATCAAAGATGAGTTCGTTAACGTAAATAGGTTGTATTGTATATCTTTAGAAGGTATTTGTATATTGTATATTTAATAACGACTCTCTTTTGTGGTCGTTGGAGGATTTTACTCTTTGTGATATATTAATATTATTCAAAATTTATACGTGGGAACACATTCAGGACATGCAATAATACATGACAATATCTAAATACATTACATAAAAATAATAAAAATCATAGGATAGCAAAACAACGCAATAGTTGATATATTATGCATAAATACACATATGTACATTCCTTAATTGTACTCTTTTGCATAATTATAACTGCCGTGAGTTTATTAATGGTCTCTTGCCTTTTTTTAACACACTGATATGTTCCTTCATGTGTACGTATGTATGTCTGTGTGTCTATGTATAATAATATCAACTAAATGATATATCTGATGTCCTTTATGTGTATAATTTGTATGATACTACATTTGTATGATAATATATTTGGTATTAATAATCGTTTAATATACGACATGATGACAGTATTTTTTTTATATTAATATTTTTAAGTATTAATTTTTCAAAACCAGTGTCTCGCTCGGTGTTACACAAAGGACATGAAAAAGAGACTGATAAGCATGACCGTTCTTCAATTTTACTAGATTCATTCTTCAATTGTGTATTGTCGTCATGTCTCGTACGTACATTATCATGTAGTACGTTGATGAGGTAATAATTTTCACAACAGATTATAGCAAGAATGTCGTAAACTCGACGTGTATGTGCCTTATGGATATGTACAACATGTCTAGGACGAGTTTATTATATAAGTATGCGAATATGTATAGTGTAATGTAAAAAGTAATTATATCTCAGTGGATGATATTCACACATATGTATCCGCGCAATTCTCTGTTAAGATGCATTTATAGATAATATCTTTTTTGGTGCAAATCATGATCAGACTGCATCTAATCCAATATGTCCTGGATAGAGTAAATTTCAGGCGTTTATTTTAACGTATATCAGTTTATCTATAATAGTAATGATTAGATGCGAGTCTTTCTCTGGAAATCATTTGCTGGACAAAACCCATTGCTGCTAATTTGTCCAGAAATGAGTGACTGAGATGATTGAACAATGCAATCAGATAATCTGCATTTTCTCTGACTCAGCTCAATTTCTTCTCTTTTTATATATTTTTATTTGACGTATAATTTAGAGTTTTTATATTTTAATTATTGTTATAAAAATATGCCAAAAAAATAATAATAAAAAATTCTACAAAGAATCACGACGTTACTTTCTTACATATGTCATTCCCCCTAATACTTATATGTGTACGTGTATGTGTGAACGATGCACTTTAATTATAAGTATTGTTCAAATTATAATTGTTATCTTATCTTTTTATATAAGATATATGTAAAATATTTTTAAAAATATCTATCAGAACTCTGAAAAGATTACTTTTTAAAACATTAAAAATTGGAAAGTGCAGCATTCATATATCAATACTAAACAACACTTGGTATTTTATTAATAGACAATTTGACCGTCATAAGGGATGCTTTGGCAAGCATCCAGAGTATCCGATTAGGAACTCTCGGTCAATGTCAGCATTTCTGCAAGGCCACTCACTCAGGTTTAGTATACCGATATAAATAGTTCAATATTTTGCACATATTATATAATATAAATTATATTTATAAAAAAAAATTAAACAACTTAAACGTTTCATATATGATCTTTTTCATTTGTTTCATAATGAAAAATTTACTAATAAAAATATACTAATAAAAAATTTATTACAATCCATAATATCTAAATAAAATGAGCTATATCGGTATACGTTGATTAACAAGAGGCAATTTAGTGATGTATTTAGATATATCTGCTATGTTGTTTAAACGCTATAATAATTTTTCAGTTTTCTTACTATTCAGATTTTCCGTCAAATTTTCATCTGCAAGACCTGCTTAGACAACCACATCCGAATGTCTTTCCTGTAACAGGAGGTCATAAGTCGCTACTACATCGTCGATTCCATTATCCAATAAAAAATATCCAAAATTTAAAAAAATACACAACTGTTAACAGTCATCTACGCGATATTTCATTCGGTACTCCCGACGTTTGTTTGTTTCGCGGCTACTCGACAATATCTCACTACGGCATAATTCTAACGACAATTCGTACGGAAGTACTTTCAACGAGCTGGAAACAAACAATAGCACGCTTTGAACAGCGTGCCGACTCGGCACTCCCGACAAGTTGTTACTCACAATCCCGATGAGTATTCAATTCGTCACGACAATATACGAGACTTACTTGTATCATTCCCAGTGACGATTCGGACGCGAGGCTCATTTTTGGCGAGACGAGAAACCACGAGAAATACGAAGCAAATTCAAACCTGCACTGGCGCACGCGTCATGATACTTTCCGGAACCGATTGAAGCGCACAATTCAGTTACGACGCTCGAGTGTTGCGTACGATGCTTCACTTGGTACAGTGGGTCGCAAAATACAATGAATTTCAGAGTGTAACCGATGAACCAATGAGAGAATTTATTTTTGAATAATTCGTTTTTTTATTAAACGCTTATTAGCTACGTTCTGAAGTTTATTGTTATGACCTATTGTACATGTCGCTCTGTACGACACCGTTATGCGAGACAATTACTCTTGACGATATTCAACGATATTTCGTCACGAAATTTACTCTCCTGGCGATAACCCGCGCGTGAGACTCGCGCCGGTGAGCCGAAAATGTACAGACCCGCGACTCGCCATAAAAACACGAATGTACATGTTACATTGCTCGATACCGCCGACGAGCTATTACATGAGATGATCACGAGTGTTCAACGAACATTTTGTCACGACGACGCGCGAAACTTACTTCCTGGCGATGATTCGAGGGTGAGACTCATTCTGGTGAGCCGAAAATGCAAGAAGTAGCGACCGCCAAAAACAAGAACGTACATGTTACACTGCTCGATACCACCGATAAGGCGTTACCATGATATAATCACTTGCGTGAGTGATTTCGTAATATTTCATTATGCTAATACAAAACACTCATTTACCGCATTCCTGGCGACGATCAGATGCAAGGGTCATTCTCGATGGACCAAATAAACAGTGGATACGAGCCGGCTTTTCAAGCCCGACGTGCGGTCTACGCCATTCCGTAACCGGTTCGATTACATCGATCTGAACATGTGATTGAGATCCTCGAAATTCGAAATGATCGACTCGATGTACACTTCGACACACATGTCGCATGCGTGCACACATCTCACGTTCACAGTAGCATGATATTAATGGAAAATTTCGTTATCCAAGGCATTCGAAGTGTTCAGAACAGCTTGAAAGATCACAGTATATAATGTTAACAAAATACAGCTATCATCATGTAGAATAGTTACTACATGGAGTCACTTGAAGTGCAATCCAAACGTTCATTGGATAACACTATTGTTAAAGACTGTCTCGATAAAACTATTTCTATGATCTTTCTAATATGATATAAAGACAAATTGAATAAATTAATATCGTGTTATGCGGAATCTTTCAAACAGCAGCACTCGTACATCTTCGTGTAAAGCCGGTAGTGTTCGTAATATCTCACGGCTGCGCGTATAGTAACACAAGAGCAGAGAGAAGCCTGAGAGCGGCCACCGGTCTGGTTTCAGCGGCCAGAGCTTAGGTACGCCATCTAACAAAAATGCGCCTAACTACATCCGTTAAGCGCACTTTGCAGTGGTACATCCTTAAATGATAGTAAGTTAGAAAAAGACAGACGACCAATCGCTCTGTTTTTGTCACATTATAGATGAGCAGCCGCGAGACGTAAACATGAAACGAGCTAGCAGCGATCTTATCACAAAGCTAGATCAACACTCATCAGTCTCGTCTTTCACGCGCTGCGTTCTGCGTAATTTTGGAAGAAAAAAGAATTTGGAAAATGGATAATATGAAACAATACATAAATATACAAAATTTATGTATAAAACATGTTACATATTTGATTTAACATGGGAGCACGATATATATATACCTAGTAAGCAAATTGAGCGCAGACTGCGCACAGATTGGCAGCAAATTTGATCAAAAACCCACAGCAAAAGCATAGCCACACCCACACCCACACCATAGCCATTTGTGTCTACATTAGGCTACGGTTTTGGCGACAGATCTTGCTGTCGGGCAATTAGTGCCAAATTTGCAGCAAAAACCGCGCAAAGCTTGCAACGCAGCAAGGGCTTAATAATTTAGCGGAAATACAAAATACTTCGGTTGAATCTCGGCTAAATAATTTAGCGGAACCTCAAAGCTAATCAGTTCGAATCTCGGTTTAATGATTTGGCAGACACTCGCGTCTGAATCTTGGCTTAATAATTTAGCGGGCAATCGAAACATTTCGGTTTTTGTTTCTAATTTAATTTGTTATCTTTAATTTGTCGTCTTGTCAACAACAAACGCATATAAATAAGAAAATATCTCCGAAAAGGTAGTATGTCGTATTTATTACGATAATACGACATAACAAATTATAAATTATATTAATCAAATGATATATAGTATAGAGTATTCCTAGGATATATATGAAACATATATAGAGCATGAAAAAATATATATAGCATATACAGAGCATATAAATATGACATCTTGAAATATATCAGTTTAATATACATTAGTATTAAGAAACAATCCGACGAGAAAAAAGCCTGTCGAGTCGAAATTTCAATTGGCCATTGTTATGCAAGAATGATCCAATTCAAAAAATTATAAGCTTTTATCAACAGATACTTTATTCACATCTTTTTAAATCAAACAAGAAATGTTCAAACTTTATAAATACTTGAAATGAATTAAGAAACAGATTTTATTATTTTTACCAGTCGCGTCTTTTTGCACATTTTTCTAAGGATTGAGTTACTCAGTACTCTTAAAGAAAAAGAAATGGAAATGCTTGACTTGTTAAACTATTGCGAAAATCTCAAAGCTAAATTCTTTGGTTGGATCATTTTTACGTAACTCCGGCGAATTGCAAATTCTAATTCTTACTTTACTTCCCGTCGGACTCAATGCGATTTACGTCTACGTGCATGCAATCTACGTAAAGTGACGCTTTGTGTCTACTATATGAGCGTCTAAATTGAGCGCTCACCATTGCGCGTCGTCCTACGGTGTCCAGGGTCCACCAGCCATCGTGTTACTGCATCTGACACTGCGATGGTCTTCGTGTCCATATCACCTGTAATGCACTCCCGACCGCGATAATTTAACGGAGGTTTCACAAAAAATCCCGTTTTTCTTGGTGGATACACTCCGAGTTGTGAATTGCATATGAAATATCGCGAACTGCGTCTTCGAGGAAATATCGGCCTTTCGGATAAACGACGAGTATGTGCGACGAATTCAGTAACGATCCAATCGAGTTGTAGTATCGAGTTGTAATATGGCTTTGATACACGCGCGACGCAAATCGCTTACGAAGAAAATGTAATCCGCGAGCGAAAGGAATACGCGACGCGAAGGCCGATCTCATGAAATCTTTCGACGCGTGGGCGAAGTAATATGTGCGGAATTCTTACGACTCAGAATATCCCTAATATAACGTTTCGATGGTGCAACATAGTAGGCTGCAATACATCTCCGCAATATTTTTGCGGATAACAGCTCCGCAATACTTTTGCGAAGACAATTCCGCAATATTTTTGCGGATAACAGCTCTGCAATACTTTTACGAAGACAATTCTGCAATGCTTTTGTGGATAACAACTCCACAATATTTCTGCGAAGTTTGCTCGCGACTCTTCCGCAAATACGATCCGATGAAATTCGCAATCCTATCAAATTAATAATCGCGAACGCGAGCGTGAATGAAAAATCAAAAACTATAAATATTGTAACGATAGAGATAAAGATTTTATTCAAAATTTACGCGAAAAAAATGTTACCGCGTGAGACGTTTATCTTCGTTCGATGGAACTTGTCGCGCGCCGCGTAAGTAAATAAACAATTACTCGCATGTCTGACTTGTGTACATCGCGTTTTTCGCAAAGGGTCAATTCTCGCTAGCATTGTGTCCCGCGTTAAGAAACTCTAACTCTAAATGAAAAATTAAAACTGAAAATTTTCCGACAATTGTGAAATTAATTTTGCGAGCAGTTTATATAATCACGTTAGATCGCTTCGCGCAAGTGTCGCACGATATTGAATTTTACTTAATAACGAAGCACAAACTCTACTTTATAAAATGCAATCGTCATTCAAGCTCATGCGAGAGAGAAAATTGAGAAAATTAACGACCGGCGGAAGATCTATGAAGCGGGTGATGTGATTGTGCATTTTCTATAGCGCAATCCCTTTGCACGTTGGCGCAATCTCTTTGCGCGTTGGTACACTGCTCGAAACACCTGGAAGATCGTATTCAACAAAACTGAATAATTTTACAAAATTTTGAATGTTCAGAGCGTATATTCAATACTTTAAGTATCTACCAGATAGTATTGGGATTTAATTAATCAAAATTTCCTCCGATAAAAATTGTCGACCAATCAATAATCTAAGTTAATCAATTTCTAAATATATATACATTGGGAAAAAAATACTTGAAAATTTATTTGCCAATTGTGTCTAAAATATGCATTATCATTAGTATTATTATTTGAAAAAGTGATCTTCCAATTGTTTCGAGCAGTGTAATTTTTATTGAACGGCACGTACACATACTACAACTACAGCAAAGTAAATCGCATTGATTCGATAAGCATGCACTACATCGAAAAACTTTTTGTCTCTCTATTATCAATATGTTTCTTGTTTTGACTCACCAAACCGCTGATCAGGATAGCCACATTCTGCTTTCGTTTCTGGAACAGAAAAATACCATTTCGCCGATTAGATTGGTGCATTGATGACGATTTGAGTGAAGAAGTTTGAAGGCTTTAAAAAAAAAATAAACGCGATATTTTTCACGCTGGAAGAATTTTTCAGAACGCATTCACATTTGGAATATTCCACTTTCCTTTTTCTCAATGTTGCAAATAAATCTCTTAATCAGAACAAATCAAAATTTTTCAAATGGTAATGTTACTCAGAAAAAATTTTCCCCGCGTGTAATTACGATTTAACGCAATCTTTGATTCGATTCAAATTATCTCGATTTCGTGCAAGAGAATTATCAATATTATTAGATTTATAATTACAAATACTAATTAATAAACCTCACCTTCGAGCTAACCCCGTTCGGCCCGAGCCAGATCCTCCGGCGCAGCAGCCCCTAAAAGTCGGCTGGTTGTCTGTTTCGTCTCTGCAACAGAAACTAGATTTAATTTAGTATTACACACGACTACGGAGACATTAAGGAACTCGATTTCAAACAAGAAAATTTCCAGTTTCATCAGATTTATCGGAATTATGAATTCAAATTAGTGAAACTCATCTTTGCACCAACTCTGCCAGGTTCGAGCCAGATCCTCCGGTGCAGCATCCCTTTAGAGTCGAGTGCTTGTCTCTGCAACAAAAAAAAACAGATTTATTTGAGTATTAATTAGTTACACGACGATGGAGGCATTAAGGAACTCGTTTCCAAAAATTTTCAGTTTTGTCGGATTTCTAATTATAAGTACAAATTAGTGAAGCTCACTTTTGAATCGACTCAGAAAAGCCCGAGTCGAATCCTCCGGCGCGGCATTTCTTAGGCATCGCATCCCCTAGAGCCGCGTGACTGCGATGATCTAGTTTTGCGATAATATTGTCGCTAGCTCGCTTACGTCGCGCGATCCACTCATCAGTGGGTGCTTTCCATTTAATAACACAAGTCGACACAAGCATCATCCTATCTTAGTCACTCATTGAATATTGAACAAAGACAGAATGCGGCTTGTGTCGACTTGTGTTATTAAATGGAAAACACCCAGTGATGAGACATGTGTTCTTTTCAGCTGCACTGCTGAACTGGTGCAATAAGTTAGAGTGAGAAAACATATATTTGTCTCACTTTAACTTATTGCACCAGCAGTACAGCTGAAAAGAACAGACCAAAAATTAGAGCGATCTGTCCTTTTCTAACTTGCTATCATTGTACGGAAGTACAACGGGCACGAACCAGGCGCATTTTATTGTTATCACCGCGAAAATACGCCTAACGAACGTAGTAAAGGCGCACTTTGTTAGATGGCGTCTCGAAAATGCACTTAGCTCTGGCCATTGAAATCAGACTGGTGCCGCTCTCATGCTTCTCTCTGGTGCCACTGACGGAATCGACCAACCACTGTCTCGAGCGTCGCGACCGTCGTCGCACTTCGCGTTTCTCGGTTGCAGCGCGCGGATCGTCGGAGCGTCCCGCCTCGCCAACCAGATTGTTTTCCGCGATCTTTCGATTTTGCGAGAGTGAGGTAATCGAGAGTCAACGACCGTGAGCGACGATGTCGGTGATCTACAAGAACTCGATGAATGCCATCAGCAAGTTCGTGCCCGAGAAGCTGCAGCCTCTATGGAAACATCCAGCTGGTCAGTAAAGTGGTCGGTCGATCGTCGGGCTGTGCTATGGCAGGTGACACGTGCGTGCGTGCGTACGCGATCGCGTGTGTTGCGTGACGCGCTCGAGAAATATGGCAGAAAAATGTATACGTGGCAATTGTACTCGTTGTGTACAAACAATATTTTATCTCCGAGAAATCACATACGCAATCGCTTAAATCACCTGATTTGTACCGACCTTCTTCTCTCTTTTATTGTCTATTTTTTTATCAACTAAACGATGATTCGGCTCTTTAAATAATTCCTAATTTCAGAGCGACGAGTCAGCTGATATCGACACGCTCAAACGGATAGCATCTAAAAAACGTAAATAGTAGAAAAGTTGACCAATCGATTGATTGTTTTTGGATCATACAGAGAATTGTACACAGCGATTGTTTAATTTGTTTCTGGTTAAAGTTTTATCGTTTATGTTTTTCTGCGTGCTCTCGGTCTTAATTATTCTCGAGAGAATTACTAGCTAGACGCACACGCGTACTCCATTCTATGTCATCTCGTTTTATCACTCGCCGCTCCCTTATTGACCAGTAACGCAGATACATTTTTTTTGTTTACGTTCCGCCGTCGTTGTCGCGGTCGATTACGAGACTCGGCGCAGAGTACACGCGAGCAACAATATTCTAATCCTTACAGTGCAGTTTCTTCAAGGTCTTCGCGTTTCTAGCTCTCGTTTAACTACACTTCGAATTAATTAAAATCGCGTCATTTGTCCTAATCTCCATAAGTCTACTCACCGTGGTCGTTCGCATTTCTACACTCGTTGGCCGTGCCGCGCGAATCTCATTAATTTGTATAACAATTGTCGGTCTTACTTAAGAATCTTTAACGCTTGCGACTAGTGCCAAGTAAGTTCACAAATTCATTTGCATTTGCTACTTGCAGGTACTCTCGTCGCGATAAGTTTTCGCAATAGTAGATTGGACGGAAAGTAAACATCTCGGTAAGATAACAGATTGTTGTCGCGATGAGAAAGTATCTACCGTTATAACGGGACAAAATCAATTGTTACTCTATTTTAAGATTTGTCAGACAGACGACGTATTATTATCGACTCGTGTCGACTTGTTCTATTTTCTATAATTTTCTTCAAAGTAGTTGGCTCCGAGATGAGCGTACCTTCACCGTATTAAAGTGTGAATGAAAACAAGGCCGCGCGTGGCTTAGTGTCCGTAATTCAAGATTGCTCTAATGAACTTATTCGACCTAGAACGGAAGAATACGGGGAAATATATATATGTAGAGGAAGAGAAAGAGAGTCGCGGGGAATCGCGGGGATATATATAGCGCAGCAAATAGTATGCATCAATAATTGTGCTGACGTATTCATCACTATTGTCTGCGATTAAACCCTGGCAACGTTTTCCTCTCGGACGGTATGTAAATATCCGCGAACAAATTTAGCCCGACGCGAGGTTACGACGTAATAAGACCAGTGTATTTTTATGTATTTCGTACAAAAACATTTCAAGTAATTGCTGCGTTTGCGGAATGCACTTCGTGCATATTTAAGGAATTGAGGAAACAATGACAACATAATCGACGAAAATAGGAAACAAAAGAACAAGTAATGCACTATACAAATTGCACGTTATGTCACAGTATGCTTAGTCGCAGTTTACTAGTCGTTTCTGCAATATGTATCTTTTTCTAGGTCCGCAAACCATCTTCTTTTGGGCACCGGCCTTCAAATGGGTTAGTAATGATTTCCTGTTTTTCCAGCATCGATTTTTCATTGAACGTCTTATCGTAGTATTCCGATAAATGAAAATTAATCAAGCAGGATTACAGAATGAATCGCGAAGAGCCAAAATATTTAAGTGAGTCGACACGAACGCAACTTTAAATATATCCTCATTGTTACCTCTTATGATAAATATTTCCAACCGCATTTTTGTATTGTTTTTCTCTCATTCTCGAAATACAAGTTCTATTTAGCCGATTCATTTTCGATGCTCGAACTATATGTCGCTGAATGTTACATGATTCAATAATAACGCGGCATATATGCATACGGCACTTCGCTGGTACACAAACCAATTTCGCCTCAAGGCAGTTGCTGCGTAATATGTGTTGGCACACGAACGCGCGTTACAAAAATATTCCAAACGCTATTCATATTCATGTTGTATTATATCGATTCCTCTTCGATTGTGTGACTACAACTACAGCGGAAATGTACATATACTTCGCGTCTTATTTTCAGCCGAGATATCTTATTTTTCATGGATATGAAAATTATAAATGACAAAAATATGATATAACTTGAAAGAACGAATGTGCCGCATCATAATGCTACATTGTTACATGAGCTCCATGTCGAGAAGTATTCTTTGTATCATTTCTTCTCTACAATTTTTGCAGGGGCTGGTAATCGCCGGTCTCGGTGATTTGCAGAGGCCAGCGCATAAAGTCTCCATCAGCCAATCTTGTGCCTTGGGCATCACTGGATTAATCTGGACCAGATACTCCTTAGCCATTACGCCGAAAAATTGGAACCTCTTTAGTGTGAATCTGTTCGTCGCGTGTACAGCCATTTACCAAGTGTCGAGAGCTGTGATGTAATTATCTCCACGTGTTCCTTGAAAGAATTTGATAAATTTTATATAATTCTTTTGGCAAATTTCGTTTGAGAAACATATATGCCCTGACATTTGCATTTCAAAAGCTCTAAGTTTCTACAAGTAATGTTTCTAAGACATACCTTTTCCTATTCCTTTTTATTTTATTTTCAGAGAAGATCACACGATAATAGATACAAATTTCGGGTTATCTTAAGCAGAAATCGCTACAAAACTTTTTATCTAATAACATTGCCGGTAGGATTAAACAAACAATAGTCTGCCAATTTTTCCGCTCGCTCTCGCGCACATACTATTTACATTATTTACATCATTTAATGTCGCAGGGCATTATGTTATGTTTCAAATGCGATTACCACTAACTGCTCTCTTTTAACTTTACTATATTAATATTTGTTTCAGGTATCAACGCCAGCAAGCTGCTCTGGAAGCAGCAAAGTCGTCAGATCCAGTTCATTGACAATAGTCGACGGTGATGCACATTCCTAGGAAACGAAATCCGGAATATTTAATTCTTCACTACTTCGCGTTCCAATCAAATACGTTCACGTTTTATCACTTAGAATTCGTCGCAGACGAACCGTCTAATAACGTGACGCTTAGCGTATCTGACCAATATATCTGAATTACGAGCGAGACGATCATGACGCGCGCGCGCGAGCTATTAAACTTACCAACCAACTCAGATTTTCTCAAAACCGTGAAGATGTAGTACAATTATATTGTGCGCGTTCAACGATCCGACGCTGTAGACAAGTAGTATGTATCTCTGAACGAAGCCGGCATGCATGTCGTCATGATATATGTTCCCATTCATCGCGAGACGAGCTGAAAAAGATGTCATGAGGTTTTTATGTAATGTTTACGTTCTGGGCTGCTCGCGCCAAACTGTGATACGAAGCGACATACGGTGCTTCTTCGTAAAGTCTTCCCGTTGACTTGGCGCGATCAAAAAAATGCGCCCTGCGTTGTACGGGTACAAGATGAACTAATGGAGTACAATACATACAACATGAGACGAACGAACACGAAACGAGCAGGTAGTATTGGGTATAACAGACACTGTAGATTAAACTGTGTATATATACCGTACTGAATACCGTTGCGCCCCATTAATTCATCGCTATTACGATTTATACATAATACTAACTTGCTCACGGTGCTTCCGCACAACATATCGACGTAATGCGACACTTCGGAGGGACGGACAAATGTACAAAATATACTTTATTCGATAATTGTTGTAACTGCCTCGCCTTGTGGCCAGTTGAAATAAAGTACGGATATTTTTAATGTCGCTGCGTCGTCAAGTGAAACGATCTAGTCCGATAGCGACGTGACGATTCATCTGCACGTGAATTTTCGATGTTTTTAACAGTTGGTTTGAACGGTAAGTTATTAAGAAGTTATTAGAACGGTATACAGAAAAACGTGAACAGTAAGGAAATTAACCAATCACAATCGATTATTTAAGTTTTACTGCTGATATTCTTTTGTTGCTCCTAGCCTTAGAGTGGCTTTCTCCAAATTTTGATTAAGCTAGTGGATAATTAATTTAATTGACGGAGTTGCTAACATAGAGAAGAAAAGATAGTTTGTTATTAAAAGTTAAGAAAAATAATCGTGCTCTTTTCTTATAATTTGTATCTAAAATTGATATTATTAAGTATTAATATTACGTAGAATGATCAATATTTTGATTATTGTCAAACAACAGATTACAAATTGCTGTTGACAATTCTTCCAATTAATCGCCGATTAAAAATTTAATTAGTGTTCGGGAAGTCAGCTTAAAACTTTCAAATTAAACATGGTCGCCAGCTCGATTAATCACAATCGATTTTTCTTATACGAATCGATTATTCCAAGGAGAATAATCGACTGTGATTAGCTAAATTTCTTATTATTTACGTCTCTCTGTGTGCTTCCGGTTTTACACAACGGTTTGATTCCCCGACTTCCGAAGTAAGAAAATAATGCGCTCAATATTTAATGAGAGCAATCAATGTTTAACTGTGTTGTCTATTTGTGTGAATGTCGAATACGCAGATGTTTCGTGTCGCCAAGTGAGGAAAACAAGGTAATTACCTCGTTCGACTAATGAGCTTTGTTAAGATTTCGCGGTAACCTCTACAGTATTGCTGTTAATTTCACGAATATCTCAGTGTCACGATAGAAATTCGTCGAGTACATGGTTACGAGTACACGGTTGCTAAACTTAGAATTTATGTTATAAAACATCGTTTCTCTTATAAAATTCAAGCTATCTCGATCGTTGACGACAGAGTGCCATCGTTTGTTTTACGTCAAGTAAAAAGAGATAATATCTACACGTGTCTATCCATAACACGAGAATATATTTTTTATAAAGAACGTCTACAAAGCTCTAGGTTAAATAAAATTGATCTATTATTGTTCGCGTTTTTAAAAACATTTATAATATTTTACTGTTCCATACTAAAAGATATTTTATATTTTTCTCCCTCCTTCTCTCTCTTTTGCTGCTAATGCTACTCTCGCAAAAAGAAGATATATTAATTGCCTTAGTCGCAATAATAAATACCTCAAACGCAGCTTCGTATCAATCATCTAGAAAATCAATAGCCGTTATTCGGTTAATCGTCACACGTTCTTTCGAAAATATCTCCTGGTTGTCTCTCTCACTCACATAACGTGATTTATACTCTGAGAGCAGGCGGCGCTCGTTTCGCGTGGAGCGTGCAATCGATGCTTCTAGACCCTACTAGACGCTACTAATTCATCGGCCGGCCGCGCAAGGCCACGGCGGCGCCAGCGCCGCGGCAGCTGCGCCGTGCGAGTTGCGCGCGATCACGTGCGACTACGCAGTCTGTGGTAGCGCTGTCGCGAGGACGGACGAGGTGACTCCGTGTATTCGTCGTCATTTCGGTCCCGCGAGGGCTTCGTGACAGTCCCGCTCGATTCTACGGCCATACGGAAGAGAGAACCGTCGATTAGCCGAAAGAGACAGTGGGAAGAAGAGAGAGAAGAATACAGTATCCAGCTCTCTTTCGAGCTCGCCACACGTACGTCGCACGATGTTCTCCGGCCTGACGAACCAGGTGTCCAACTGGATGGGCAAGAAGCCCGAGAATGGCAGCGAGTTGCCAGCCGAGCCCAAAGCCGCGTCCCCGGAAGCCGAGATCGGCGGTGATCTCGAGAAAAAGAACAACACCAGGTATGTACGCCATCCTGTACTCTGCCTATAATCATTGCGCCGAGACGTCAAACTCAGCTACTCGCGAATAGTCTAATACGTTCATGCCTCTCGCGAATAAGTGTGTCTATCTCGCTATTATCATTCTCAGAGCTTGGTTTTAATAAAACCAAGATAATGCGTAGTTGTACGCGCTGTTAGTGCAGGCACCGCGGGACGTGTGCCTGCGCGTTCGCGATGTACGTCATGACGTTAGCCGCGAGTCGTGCACGGCTTAAGCCCGTATCAGACTATTATTTGGACAGACGACCCGACTCGTAATGGACCAATCACAGTGAAGCGACTTCCTTGTGATTGGTCCACTAAGAGTCGGCAATCGGGTCGGCCTGTTGGTAGTCTGATATGGGCTTAACGCGAAATCGATTCCGCCGCCGAATACTACGTTCGATACATCGCATGGTGCACACGTCATTCCGGGTGATAATGGCGACGATTGAGAGAGATCGGTATGTGCTCACCCTAATTCAATTTTTGACAAGATTATGGCGATATCATCGTGATTACACGCGGAAAAGCGAGTGAGCGCGTCGCGTCAGGCTGCCGCGAATAAACACGGAGGTCACCTCGTGTGTTTACAGCGCCCGATGTCTGAACGAATTGACTTCCGACTCGGATCGGACTATCGCAAGCGAAATAATGGCGGTTTCGGTCTCAGGCAAATAGATCGCTATTCGGAAGACGTGACACGCGGATTTGCGGGCGTCGTCGTTCTTTCGTTTCGAGGTCTTCGATCGTGACACGCGCACTCATACGTGCCACGTATAAGTAATAGTTACATTCAGCAGATAAAGTTGCTTTGCAGCTGTAGCAAAATTCGTTCATTTAATTAGAGTGTATTCTTAATTTTGGCTGAATCTAAAAGCACATATCAGATTCAAAAATTTACAAAGCAGCTTTCTCTGCTAAACGTAACTAATTTCTCTCTCTTTCTTTCTCTCTTTTCTGTCTTTTTCATCGCCTACACGTTGCGCCACCATTTAAAAGCAGGGTCGTAATATCCCGGCCGGATGCATTTTCGAGATTAGATCAATAACGTACGACTTACGTAAAGTAGCGCGACTCCCTTACGTCTCGTACGATTCGACGACGGATTTACTCGCGATACGCCAGCGAGGTTGCGTTCTCGTTTCCTTTGTTTTTCTCGGCTGTCAGTCTTCTTTTTAAAGAATATCCTTTTGGCGGAATCTGTTCTTTCTAGGTGCGTCTCGCGACTGGAATATACATATTTATCTCGTCTTAAATACAGAGAGCGCAAGTAGAGCTTGAAGTAACAGTACTGCGCATAATGTTCTCACAATGTTCTCTTTTTTTTAACCGAGCAAGCGCTACGATGAAGCATAAAGTATCGATAATTCTTAACGCGGTAACAACTTTTACTTCGTTCTTCTTAAAACTTGTGCAACTGGGTCCACTTGTGTTGCCAGCGCTTCGACAACTGACTGTCGTCAAATGTCACAAATATGCGCAGTTGAAATACGAGCGATATAGAGAACGCATAAAATCGATGCGAGATCCTTCGAAAAGCTCGAACTGCGGCATAAGTTTCTTATCCATGATGATAGGTCACATCGTAATGCGACGGCGCGTTGGATAGGTCGTCTAGATGTATGTCACGATTTTGTAACGCTGAAAAATTATAACAAATGCAGCTTCGCGCGTTCAACAATACGTTCACGATAAGCTGCACGTTATCGATACTGCAAATGTATCATCATTGCCGTGACAATGACAACTTTTATATATCTGTCTCAGTTAATTACAATACATTTATACTTTTTATATATCTGTCTCAGTTAATTACAACACAGTTCGTGACGCGCTCGATAACACGCGACACTATTATATACGATATGTCCGGCTATATAATTCAACAGCAGATGTTATTTGAATAAGTTAATTGAGATATTTGCGTATTGTAATTAATAATCTCACGTAAAAACAGATATGAAAGCGTCCGCAATAATACGTTAATGCATATTAGTTATCGATATGTTTGATCTACAAATGCAACTATCCACGATCTTTTCCATTTTGTCTCCCGTTTCCGCCTTTCTAATTTTAAAATTAACATTCAATTAATGATATATATATTTAAAGACACACGAGACCAATTCGCGTTAATACCACTCTGCCGTTTCAAGTTATCGCGACTCGTTGATTTATATACTCGTTGATTTATATACTCGTTGATTTATGTCGTTTGATATGATTTGCTACTTTTACTCACAATGCGAACGATACATCCAACGATAGAAATGAGGAATAAATGAGCAATGAGAAATATAAACAAAAAGTTTCAGATTGTATCTTATTTTGTGCGAACTATCAACGTGAAATAAAAATCAAGTGCGATTTTGGCAACTCTCCTTTGTGACACGCGACAACCAGAGCCTTGACAATCGATTTTAACGAATTGACGCGTTTGTAAATGGCGAGCACTTGCTCGCACGATTTCAATTTACAACCGCGCGTGTTTATAAACTACGTGCTCCAACTGTATTTATCGGGATGCGTGCGCACATTGACAACGCGCGTCAAATGTCAGTGCACACAGAACGAGCGTACGTTCGTGCGAAATCAATCCGCGCGATGGTCCATTCGATCGACGTCCACCTGGCGGAATATACATACATATATATATATATATATGTATGTATCTTGTACACAGAAGTGTGCGGGATTCGCGAAATGGAAACCGCGATGCTTCGTCCGCAATAACGTCATCTATTCGCACGCGACAAACCGTTCGCATCACCGTTTGTGAAAATTCAATCTGATGTTTACGCACCGAGCAATTTTACGCCGGAAGATTCCGACGACTGAAGTCTCGGGAGTCAAGTCTGTGAAATCAAGTAACGGATTTCCTCATTAATGAATTTTTAGTGTAACTCGATGGCTCGATACTCGGTTATGTATTACTGAGAGAAAAAAAGTTAAGAAAGATTTTTATTCGTTGTGGCCTCGTAATTACATTTAATTAAATCTAAATTCTTTTATTTAAGTAGAATATACAATTGCTTTCATGAAAAGCTGAAGTTTTAAGAAAATGTATATTTCTTTATTTGAAAAATATTTTATATTAGTATATAAATACGTTATTAATAGCAATCGAGTAAATGTTGTTTATTTAAAACATTTTTCTCTTAATGTGTAGAAAAAAAATCAAGAAGATTATGATAAACAGGAGATTATGATGCTTTAATCAGGAAATACGTGACAAAGTATATTTCCTTTTTCTCACAAATATCTCGCGTGATTGTTATATTTTTCTACTTTTCATGATTGTTATACGTTTGTATATACATTGTAGCGAATATCTTATAACATGTTCTTAGCATGTGTTAACACGAAAGACGTGGAATTATTATCGTTCCATTGTGCATGCAAATCGAGTTACGACCTCCGTGAACTCCCGTTACGTAATGCATTTCGGAATTTTCGGTAGCCTTATCTGTTCTGTCGAAATTCATAACTCGAGCGTAATTACGAGAGCTGGTTGGGAATTTTGTCTTTCATATGTCCCTGTGTAAGTCCTTTGACTAGTAATTAGCGGTATTGTTACCATGACGGTATCCCGCATATAAATTACAGCTTCTACGTTTCTCTCAGGCGAGACATTAAATCTTGGCCCCGGCAAGAAAGTTTTGAAACGAATTTGCACGCGAAAATTCGCGGACGAGCGATTAAAAAACTCATGCGTCATTTTCGCCCGCGTAATTTGAACAATTTATTCTTCTGTCGCTAATTTATCGTGCGTCGTAGTTACAGTACAACATGCGATAATCACGCTTGCACACTGAAATCTTCATTGTACGCGCCTTCCGTGAAATGTCTTTTCATTATTCAGCGTTTCGCGGAACCCCTTTCGCCTCTAGAATTCTAGTTTAAATGCATGCCTGCCCGTAACATCCGGAATCCTTCTTGCAGCCCGAAAGGCAATAAACTGGAAATGTTCGCCGGGGTGAAGAATCAAATGTCCGGCTGGTTGAGCGGCGGAATACCCGGCTTAAGCCGTGGCGCCGGGACCGGCGAGGGTGAGGCTCCGCCGCCGATCGAGACAGAAGAGAGCCAGGCTCCTCAGGAGACCCAGGCTCCCGTCGGCGAGCAAGTAAAGGATGACGATGCAAGCAGGTGGGCTTCAGAGTATGTGGCATCTATGTGTTTCATGTTTCACTATTG